TCAAATTTTGATAGAAATGGAACCGTGATGTGCGTAGACGAAAGCAGTTCGCCATGAATAGATGTGATCTCCTGCCTTAAGATCATCTCTGGAGATTTGGTTGGAGAATAATCCGATCTTGTCGAGAAAGAGGGATTCCATTTTGATGGATTAGTTGGGTTTTTTCTGACTTCTTTAAAGTCAAGTGTGTTGAATTTCTGTGTTTGGTCTGTATATTGTCTTGTTTATTGGCTAAATGAAGTAAAGTTAACTTTACAAAGACAGAATTGTATTAAAACTTAAAGCTAATCATAAAGTCTTTGTTTGGCTATATCTGGACCCTAATGGAGACCATATCCAGATCAACCAAGGAGATGCCAGACCCAAAACTGATGATGACTTGGCAGCACAAAAGTAGTTCCCCAATTTGCTTATCTTGTGTTTTCTTTATTTTTTCAAAACAGTATTGTTTGGAGCTATCTAATTATTACAAGCAATTCTCTCACATAATTTCTCTAAAAAAAACACGTTAAATTTACTAAATTATATTTCGATGCACGAAGAATTAAAGTTTTTTTTTTTAATAATAAAAATCAAGTTATTAAAAGTGTAGTAACAAAAAGAGGGACCTTCCCCTAACTTGTTCGAGGATAGAAGAAACAAAAGAAAAATTAGGGTTTCGCATTCGAGTCTTGGATATGGATTCCGAGGAGGAGCGTGACTCGAAACGTCAGAATTAGGTGGAGGATGACGATGAGAAACTGGAAGAGGTGTCGTCTCCGTCCAGCGTAGAATCACGGGACGAAGAAGATGTTCGATTGTTCGAAGAAGAATTCAAAAAGCATGGGGATTACGACTTTGACGCCTCAAAAGTAGGAAGCATTGTGGTTTTTTATCCTCTTGTCTTCGGGAGTAGCGAGTATGCAACAGAACCAGAAACAGACGGAGAATTGATGGAGAGGTTATCCAAGATCGCTCTTAAGGAACACAATGATAATAAGAAGACGAATTTTGAATTAGTGAGAGCTGTCAAGGCTAATTGGAGTCTTGGCGGAGGAAACATTTTCTCCATCACACTCGAGGCCAAAGATGCTTCTCTGCACAGTGGGCCTGTACCTTTTCATGCTAGGGTTTCCTACATTCCAGGGGGTACAAAGGTCTTCGATATCAACCCTAAACCTCAACCTAAGCCATGATCATTAAGATAGATTGAGTAGAGAGTTGGTGCCTTTGGGAATTGCAAGAAGAAGTTGTTCTAATTTACATTCTACTTGTTTACTTGATATTATGTTGCAAACTTGTTTACTGTCATTGGAATAAACTTGTGCATCTTTATTGCAGTAAGTCATGTGCATCTCTAACTTTTGATGTGATAAGTTGTGTACTTGATTTGCTAAGACTTTGTAGACTTTTGGTGGTTTGTATTAATGTTTTCTTGGTTAAAAGAAAAAGTGTAGTAAAG